GCTGTCAGTTAAAAGACGGTGGCTCCTTGAAAGAAAAACTATGACAAACCCAGACAACGTATTAAAAAGGAGAGACATCACTTTTCCAACAAAGGTCCGTAGAGTCAAAGCTATGGTTTTCCCATAGTCACATACAGATCTAAGAGTTGGACCATAAAGAGGGCTGAACACCAGAGAATTGATGCTTTCTAACTGTGAGCTGGAGAAGACTCTTGAGAGTTCCTTGGACAGCAAGGAGATCAAACCTGTCAATCAACCCTGAATAGTCATTGAAAGTACTGATGTTGAAGCTAAAGCTCCAGTACTTTGGCCACCTGAGGCAAAGAGCTGACTCATTGGAAAAGATCTTGATGCTGGGAAGGGCCAATGACAGGAGGAGAAGGGGGTGGCAGAGGATGAGATGGTTGGATGGCATCATCAACTCAATGGGCATGAGTTAGAGCAAACCTTGGGAGATGGTAAAGGACAGGAAAGCCTGGAGTGCTGCAGTCCATGGGGTTGCAAAGAGTTGGACACAACTGAGTGACTGAACAATAAACCACTAAAGCCCCTCCCAGCAGACTTTTCCATGGGGGTGGGGGAAGGGTGCAGCTTTCCTGCTGCTACAGCAACAGTAAACTGGACAGTAAAGTTCTTTGGTCAATTCATGCTTCCCAGGTGGCACTAGTGGTAAAGAATCTGCCTGCCAATGCAGGAGACATAAGAGATGTGGATTCCATCCCTGGGTCAGGAAGATCCCCTGGAGGAGGGCATGGCAACCCACTCCAGTATTGTTGCCTGAAGAATTCCATGGACAGCGAAGCCTGGTGGGCTATCGTCCATGGGGATGCAAAGCATTGGATATGACGGAAGCTACTGAGCTCACACAATGGTCAACTCACCAGTTTTGAAACGAAGCAGGACTGTATGGTCCTTGCCCCCACGACCATGTTCTCTGCCTTCCTTTTGCCTGTGGAAAACTTTAGTCAAAGAATAAATTTAATCAGAGAAGTGAGAAATGCTGAAACAAAGGAAAACAGTCTAAGGAGAATAAATAGTAATACTGTTGTTATTAAGCATAGTCAAGGACCTTTAGTTCTTTCTCAAGGGCTGCAGATAATATTCTGAGCCATATCCTGTGAGCTGTCTTATGGATACCAAAACACCAGGTGGAGGAGTTAACTATATAATGACCAGACTGTACCCAGGACTTGAGCTGCCATAATTCTGAGAATTGACTGCAGAGAAATGGGAACAAGTGCTCCCCGGAACTGAAGATTAACTATACCTAAAACAACCAAGATGATGCTAGTCAGACCACTGATGACCAATTGAAGATGACTGTTAGAGATGACTGTGCTGCTTCTGCATGTAACCTCCCCCTACTCTTGTCTATAAAAGCTCTCACCCCCTGCTTGTCAGGGGAGGGGGAGAGTCGGCCTTTGGACAGATGTCTGCCACCCTCCCCGCCAGCTGCTGGCATCTGAAATAAAGCAAACTTTCCTTTCCATCAACCTGGCCTGTCTACTGCTTCTGAGTGGTGAGCAACCGGACCCCACACACATACCTTTCAGTAACAGTTTGGAGTTTCTCACTGACAGATTTCTCTGAGAGTCTTAGGCTTCTACCCAGTTTGCTCAAACATATACACTGTATTCTGCTTCCCTCCCACATTTTTTCCCCTTCCAAACTTCTCTTTGTTTTTGTACTAGGTGTCACAATTTTCTTGTTGAGCACTCCAGGACAAACCACTCCCTCAGGATTTTGTCTTCCAACCAAAATATTTTCAAAAACAAAAAGAGCATTCTATCATTAAACATACGTTGGTATTATCTATTTAAAAACAAACTTCTCTTTCTGTTACAGTATTTTAAAAGTCTTGTCAGTAATGCAAAATTTTCAAATGGCTTCATAGAATTAAGATAATTGTAAGGCTTTCATTTTTTAAAAATCAGGCTTTCATTATTACTTATTAATTAATGAAGTTCATACATCAAAGGATTCTTTCATTCTTAAATTAAGCCTTGCTTAGTAATATTGTGTGTTTCTTGTAGAACATGCTCTTTAAGTATGTGTCAGGGATGTGTAACTTCATAAGTAAGTTCATAAGTAAGACTTTAAAATAGAGATGCTCTGTGAGTGTGTGTATCTGTATGGGAGCCACCTGCAGGATGGTTTTAGAAGTCATAATGTACTTTCTCAAGAATAAATTAAGAAGGCTTCCTTTCTTCTCTGTGCTTTAAAACAGTTTAAATGCCATTGGAATCATCTTTCCCTAAAATGGCTTTATTTATATAAGACAAAGTAGACTTCAGAACAAAGAATATTACCAGAGACAAGAGGAAAATACTGTTTTTTGGTTGCACCACACATCTTGTAGGATCTTAATTCCCCAACCAGGGAACAAACCTATGCTCCCTGCAGTGAAAGTACAGAGTCCTAACCACTGGGCCACCAGGGAAGTCCCAAAACTCTTTTAACTGTAGATGAACAAAGATGAGAATTAATCTAGCTTTTTCTCAAAACCCATGTAAGCAAGAAGATAACAGAGTAAAACATTTAAAGTACAGAAAGAAGAACAATACCATTCTGGAATGTCATATCCAGTGAAGCTATCCTTGAAAAGTGAAGGAAGGAAGAAAGTTTCTCAGAAGACAAAAAATCCAGGTAATTTATTACCAGGAGACACACTTTGTAAGATGTTAGAAAAAAAGATCTTCAGAAATAAGAAAATTGATATTGACCAGAAATTTGATCTATGTAAAGCAAGGAAGAACAGTATATATGCAACCAAGAGACAGGATACATAGACATAAAAACACCAAGTTAGGTAAAGAGGCACAGAGGAATATATTCCAAATGAAGAAACAAGATAAAGCCACAGAAGAACTAAATGAAGTGGAGACAGTCTACCTAAGAAAGAGTTCAAGGTAATAATCATAAGGATGATCAAAGAACTCAAGAAAACAATAGATGAACAGAGCAGGAAGTTAGAGGCTTTTAACCAAGACTTAGAAACTATAAACAGAGACAGTAAAAAGATCAGTCATTGCCAGGAGTTCAGCAGAAGAGGGGAGAGAGATTAATAGGTGGAATACTGGAGTTTTATAAAGAAAATTTTTTTGCCACACAGAATGTGGTATCTTAGTTCCCCAACCAGGGACTGAATCAGCACTCCCTGCATTGGCAGCTCGAAGTCTTCACCATTGGACCACCAGGGAAGTCCCAAGTATTGGACTTCTCTGGGGTGGTGTAACTATCCTGTGTCATATTGTAATGGTGCATACAAGACTATGAACTTGTCAGAACACACAGAACTGTACAACACAAAGAATGAACTCTAATGTCAACTATGGACATTGGTTTTTTTTTAAAATGTTAAGCCCCTCTGCATTTAATAGCGTTTTTCCTTCAGCATATTTTGTCTTGTATTAATACACCACTGTGGCTCTTTTACAGTCACTGTTTGCATAATATATCTTTCCCATCCTTTCAACCTCTTTGAATCTAGTGGATTTTTTAAAAAATTCAGCCTGACAATCTGTGAATTTTGATTGGAGTGTCTAATCCATGCACATTTGGTGTTTTAATTTATCTAGTTGGAAGTATCTTTGCCATCTGGACATTTGTTTTGTATATGACTCTTGGTTGCTCTATTCCTCCTCTATCGCTTCTTTTTTAGTAAGTATATATTTTGTGGTGTATCATTTTCATTCTTTTGTCGACTTTTGGACTATTTCTGGTTTTAGTTATCTTCCTGCATGCTAGCTCACTTCAGTCGTGTCTGACTCTGAAATTCCATGGACTGTAGCCTGACAGGCTCCTCCGTCCATGAGATTCTCCAGGCAAGAATCCTGGAGTGGGTAGCCATTTCCTTCTCTAGGGGATCTTCCCGACCCAGGGATCAAACCCTCATCTCTTACATCTCTGGCATTGGAAGGCAGGTTCTATATACCACAAGTGCCACCTACTTGCTCTAAGTGTGAAGCACCGAGGAGGGGCAGAATTGGAATCAGGAGAACCAGTAAGAGTCACCATGTGGGTACAACCTGCTGACCACGCTCTCTGCTGGCTTCTGGAAGCTGATTTGGTCCCGTCTTCCTCTTAGGGGACTGATTTGGCCTTTGGTCCCTATCTGGCTTGCTGCTCAAGTCCTTGACTTCCGTCTGAGCCTGAGGAATCAGTCTTTCCGACCTGACTCTTCTTACAGTCACTGGCTGTGATTCCAAGGTTTTCTGGTCTCTGAGCAGCCCTACATGTCTGCCAGAATTCAGGAAGGAAGCTCCTGTCTAGGTGCTGAAACCTTGGATCTCAATCAGCTAACACTGAAAGGTTCTTTCCAATTCTTTTATTCCCCAATTGCCTTAAAATAGTACTGGAAACATTTCTCACCTTCTGCTGTTCCCATGTGTCATCTCATTGAATCTCTACAAGGTCTCTGTTCCATGCTTTTAACACCTTTTTGCTTGAGTTCAGATAAACAATACCTGAAATTATAACCCTTTTATGATAGGATGATTTAGTTTTAGTTTTTCATATTACGAAACTGCAGAATATCTTAAATATGTTTCCTGATAGATCTAGGGCAGCAAAACCCTTCTGGATATTTTTCTCTGAAATTACACTGAAAGAAATAAACAGCTGTCAGGCGGATGCAGGCTAAATCGTTAGATTGCTGACTCAGTGTTCTGGAAGTTACAGTGTGTCCTGGAATGCAAGTCACTTGCTCTGACATTCAAGTACTCTCTTTTGGGGGGAAGGTTAACATAAATTAGTTGAGGGAGGCTGAAAAGAGGACAGGAGAATAACTGGCAAATGCATGGACTACTAACAACCAGGATTCTAGCTGTACAGGCAGATAGTCAAACGAACAGGTCACATGCAAAATATGAGTCATGCCTCATTTAGGATGTCAAAAGCCTATGTTAACAATGGTTCTCTTTATAGGCTTCTCTCTCCATGGGATTCTCCAGGCAAGAATACTAGAGTGGCTCTTGGGCTTGGATCTAGGTTGCGTTAACATGGCGAAACGCACCAAGAAGGTTGGAATCGTGGGCAAATACGGGACCCGTTATGGTGCCTCCCTCAGGAAAATGGTGAAGAAAATTGAAATCAGCCAGCATGCCAAGTATACCTGCTCCTTCTGTGGCAAAACCAAGATGAAGAGAAGAGCTGTGGGCATTTGGCACTGTGGTTCCTGCATGAAAACAGTAGCTGGTGGTGCCTGGACCTACAACACCACTTCTGCTGTCACAGTAAAGTCTGCCATCAGAAGACTGAAGGAATTGAAGGACCAGTAGAAGCACCACCATTTGATAATGTTTCTAGTCTATAAATAAATGGGCTAATTTATGTAACAACAACAACAAAAAAGAACACTAGAGTGGATTTTCAGGCCCTTCTTCAGGAGATCTTCCCAACTGAGGGATCGAACCCACGTCTCCTGTGTCTCCTGCATTGGCAGGCAGGTCCTTTACCACTAGTGCCACCTGGGAAGCCCCCATTAAAGTTACTGAATTATATATTTCTTTGTTGCTTGGTCTTGTTTTCCACTTCAAGACCCTATAAAACAGTTGTAATGGAAAGAGTATTTTATAAACTTAAAACCAGTGCATTTTATCCTTAAGTCATATTTCATTTCAACCTCTTTCATCTTGATGCAGAGTCAAGAGGCTTACTGGCCAGGGCAGAGAGTTCACATGAGCCCTCTTTGGCTTGATGCTAGGCTTAAAATAAGGCTTTGTGCATTTGGTTGACTCATTGAGTGGCAATTCGAATGGCCTAGTCCCGACTTGGAACTTAAACCATCTCCCAGAGTGATGAGAGAAGAGGGTCCTTCCGTCTGTCTCTGCTGGGCCTCAGGGCTTTCTTCAGTCCAGTGAGAGGAATCTTGCAAAGAGATGTGAAGGGAGCTCCTACTTTCTGAAGGAGGCTGCTACAAAAGAGCAAGAAGGTTCCGGCCATGTGGTCAGTGGTGTGAGTGTCAAGCTCCAGCAGGAAGGGGTGCAGAATACAGGGGATCTACAAGGGGGAAGGGTGAGCCCACGTGAGGGGCCCAGCTTCCTGAGGAGCCCTGAGCCCAGAGCTCAGCTGAACAGTTTGCCAGTCCCTACCAGCACTGCCCTGAGCTGGGAGCCACCTGGAGTCTTGGTGGTGGGGTGAGGCCAGGCTGCAGGGGCCCTGAAGGAGTCACAGGGAGGATAATGCAGGCTCTTGGAGGAGCTCAGCCAGAGAGATGGGGGAGAAGCTGGGCCTATCAGGGCCATGCCTCCCCTGTGGAAACCTGCAGGCTCCCCCAGGCCTCAGCTCTCACGCCATCAGGGAGCTCAGTGCCCACACAGCCAGGAGTGCCCCTGGGACCCAGAGGAGAACCATCTCACACTCAGACACTTGGACAGATGGAACCGGGAGGTGGGCCCATGCCCAGCAACAGACAAAAGAACCGTTTGTCTCTGAGCTTTAAACCTGATGGGTCATTTAGTTGGGTCTGTTGGTGTGTTTGCTCTGTTGCCCCAAGAGGTACTTGAGGAAGGTGGGAAGTTATGAAACCACAACGAGAAACAACGTTTTCTCTGTACATCCCAGCTGTGGCCTGCATCGCTGCAGGTAGGCTACAGGTTGAGGTGAAGCACACATGTGTGCAGACATTCACACCTGGTGTAACAGAGCATATGGGAGTGAGTGTGAGCAGCAGAGCAAAGCATACACAGCCTTCTCTACGTGGCTCTCTCCTGCCTTGTGGTTCCTATCGGGTCTCACAGTGGCCTTCTGCAGGAGGGGGCCAGGACATTCTGCCTACATCCCTTACACTGGAGCTTGTGGCACCACTGCAGAAGAACCTCCACACAACATGCCTTTTCTTTCTTTTTAAACCACTTTATTGATGTATGATTGATATGCCAAAAGCTGTATATTTATTATATGCAAATTGATGAAATGGAGATAGCTCTGTATCTATTAAGCTATCACCACAATCAAGGCCTTTAGCTCCTCTTTTTTAATTAATTAATTACTTATTCATTTTTGGCTGTGCTGGGTCTTCATTGCTGTGCAAAGGCTTTCTCTAGCTGCAGCAAGTGGGAGCTACTCTTCATTGCGGTATGTGGCCTTCTCATTGTTGTGACTTCTCTTGTTGTGGCACGTGGGCTCAGTAGCTGTGGCGCAAGGCTTGGATGACCAGGGATGGAACTCAACTCCCCTGCATTAGCAGGCGGATTCTTAACCACTGGACCACCAGGAAAATTCCCTTTTTAAAAATGTTTTATTTTATATTGAAGGATAGTTGATTGACAATGATGAGTTAGTTTCAGGTGCACAGCAAAGTGATTCAGTTCTAACAAACAGGTATTTATTCTTTTTGAAGTTATTTCCCCATTTATGTCATTACAGAATATCGAGCAGTTCCCCAAACACCACTTTATAAGAAGGTTCACCAGGGCAGGGAGCGTCTGGTTCTTGAAGCCAAGTTGGCCTCAGTGCGGCCAGTTCTCACCCAGAGGAAGAGTCCTCCCAGGCCTGGGGCCCTGAACCATCATCTGCTTCCAGTGTTAAGGGAATCTTGTGTCAGGGGGACTGGTCAGTTCAGTTCAGTTCAGTCGCTCAGTCATGTCCGACTCTTTGCGACCCCATGAATCAGGGACTGGTCAGCCACCCGCAAATGAGCATCTTCATGTGAACACATGATTATGGGCGCTTCACACACATGATGTTACTTATGTAGCTAACTTTTTATCAGATGAAGTGTTTACCCATCTTAGAGTTGTTGGAGGATAGCTATCCCAGTGTGGTGAGGGGAGAATTGGGGTGTGAACACAGTGAACCTGCCCCTCTTGGGCACTGGAGATTGTTCCCATCTTCTTGGCTCCCCCAGGCCCCCCAGGATGAACAAACTTTTCCCAGACTGAATGGCACTGGCCCTGCAAAACCCCTCCAGGAGCTTCCCAACTCAAAGTTAATATGGAAGCTTGAAAAGCTACACATTATTGTCATAATTATATTGTGTTGAATATACTTATCACCGTATCCAATAGTTCATCCTTTTGTTTTCATCTAGTCTCTGAAACCACAGTTGTAAAGGCCTCTTTTCTACCACACTGAGTTGATTCGAGTTTTCCTTATCTTCAAAAATGTCTTGGGACTTCCCTGCTGGTCCAGCTGATTCCAAGCTCCTAATGCAGGGGGCCCAGGTATGATCCCTGAAGAGGGAAATGGCAGTATTCTTGCCTAGAGAATTCCATGGACAGAGAAGCCTGGTGGGCTAGAGTCCTTGGGGTCTCAAAGAGTCAGACATAACTGAGAGACTGAGCACAAGGAACTAGATTCCACAGGCTGCAACTAACAGTTTGCATGCCACAGCAAAGATCGGAGATCCTGTGTGCCTCACTAAGACCTGGTGCAGACAAATAAATAAATAAGTACTTTTTAAAAATAGAAATTAAAAAATCCATTTAAAAAATGTCTCACTTCATCATCTTTCTTTTTTCTGATTTTTCTTTCAGAATATCGATGAATACAGACTCTGCAGGACTTCCTGAATTCTTCCCTATTTAGCTCATCCTCTGTTGAGAGAATGACCATGATTTGATGAAATATGGTACCAGTGTCGGCCTCTCTTTCCTCTGGAAAATTCCAAAGGCAGCCAAAATTCTGAAAAGATGTGCTAAAACACACAGGCAAGGCCAACATTCCAGACTACAAATTTTAAAAGATCTTCAAAGAACTGATTGCCTGAGGTCTCTGGCATGGGCTCAGCATCTGTCTCCACTGGGGTTGGCCATGTATCTTCATGGGGCTTTCTTGGCATTTTGGGTGGGACGATTCTTTGTTCAGAACTATTGCACACATTATCAGAGAGCATCCTGAGCCTTCAGGCACCAAATAGTGGTAGAATTTCCCTGTTGTCATGGCAACCATGCTGACCCTAAATGTTTCTGAATCCCCCTTGAAGGAAGTCTCTCCTCCAACTGAGATCCATTAGTTCTTCCTAAAAAGTATGAGCAAATGATTCTAGAGTTCTTTGTTTAGACAGAATTTCATGTTTGCAATCAAGTCTTTAAAAGTATGAAATTCTAATTAAACAAAGGGCTCTGGAATCTCATTGGTACTTCTCAGACAGAGCTAATGGATCTCAGTTGGAGAAGAGTCTTTGGGCCTCCCAGGTGGCATCAGTGGAAAAGAACCCACCTGCCAATGCAGGAGACATAAGAGATGTGGGTTCAATTCCTGGGTCGGGGAGATCCCCTAGAGGAGAGCACAGCAACCCATTCCAGTATTATTGCCTGGAGAACCCCATGGACAGAGGAGCCTGGAGGTCTACAGTCCGTAGGATCACAAAGAGTCAGACACAACTAAAGCAAATCAGCACACATGCAATCAAGTCCTTAGATCAAAATCTACATTTCAAAACTCAATGAAGGGCTCTAATGGGAATCATGTTTGTCTCCCACTGCCCTTAGTTTTTCAGTCTTTCTACATTAAGTGTGTCCTCACAGAAGCAGCACTGGCATCATCTGAGAGCTTGTGAGAAATACAAACTCTCCTGAATCAAAACCTGTATTTTTGACAAAAATCCCCATTTAATCCATATGCACTTTGAATTTTGAGATGCAGTGCTTTAGCGAATGCCCTGGACAGTCTTGTGACAGCTCTTGTAACTAGACTTTTCCCCACTGAGGGGCACAAATGATTTGGATCCCAACCCTCAATGTTATAAATGCTTTCCATTTGCACTTTCACACTGTGATGGGATCAGCCATGTCTTTACCAAAAAACCACTGTGCTCCTCATCAGCGTGGTCTCCAACCACATCAACTAAGCACTCTCTCTCTTTTTTAAAAGGTTTATTTATTTAGTTTCCTATTTTGGCTGTGGTGGGTCTTTGTTGCTGTATGAGGGCTTTCTCTAGTTGCCACCAGTGGGGGCTACTCTACATTGTGGTTCTTGGACTTCTTGTTGTGGTGGCTTCTCTTGTCCCAGAGCACAGACTTAGTAGTTAAGGCTCACAGACGAATTAGAGCCTGGGCTTGGTAGTTGTGGCATACAGGCTTAGTTGCTCTGTGGCATGTGGGATCTTCCCAGACTAGGGATCCAACCAGTGTCCTTTGCATTGCAAGGCGGATTCTTAACCACTGGACCACTAGGTAAGTCCTAAACTGTCTCATAATTTTGAGAAAGCCAGAATATCAGGTGATCTCAAATATTCCTCTTGCAGTCTATGATAATGTGTTTCTTTTCCATTATGGTTTTTTGTTTTTCAACATTTATTGGGCTGCGCCTGGTCGTGGTGGCAGCACATAGGAAT